AATTTTTAACTAAACGATAAAAATAGAAACATGCGCTGATGCAGTATAATACAATATTTATAAATCAAAAAAATTTTTCTGTTTTACTGATTTTTTTTTGGTGATAGACTTTCGGTGTGAGTAGTGGTGTAGTTGCATTGAGGTAATTAATTACGACCGAAAGTTGTGAAGTTGCAACTTTTTTGTAGTATTGACGTAGGCAGTAACTCCGGTCGTAGATCGTAATTATTGTAGTATGTAGTATTTTATGCGTTGGAGTTGGATCATAATTCTGGTGATAATGATAGTAATCAATCAAATAAACTATGTGTACGTAATTGACTTATGACGTATGTAAATACCATAGTATAATAAAGTTTTTTTTATTTTTTTTTTCATATTTCTTTCAAAATCATGGATAACGAAAGCGAAAGTTCAGATAATATTTCCGTTTCAACGCAACCTAATAAAAAACAAAAAATTCGTAGCGGTCCCAGCTTTGATGAAATTTGGTCATTTTATACAAAGGGTCCTAGCAGAGGTAACGGGCATTATAAAGCAGCTTGTTACCACTGCCAAACTGCTTGGGAACGTGGAAAACCACAAGTAATGAAAGCACATTTGGCCAATCACTGTGAAAATTGCCCCGAACACATCAGCAATTATTGGCGTCAAAAGTTAGTTGAAGAAGCTAATACAATTCGTTTTCGAACAAGTGATTTACAAGACACAGATTGTGTTTCTTCAGAAATAAAGTCTCAAATTGATCAATCATTGTTAAAAGCGTGGGTTATGGCTGGAATCCCATTTGAAGTGATTGAAAATCCCTTTATACGGGATCTATTTAAAAAACTAAAGTATGATCCACCATCAAGACCTACTCTTTCAGGACGGCTATTAGATGCTGAAGTAGCACGAGTAACGAATTTGGTTAACAAGGAACTTGAATATTGTGACAATCTAACCTTAAGTATGTAAATATGAATACATTATTTTTAATTACTTTATATACTGTATTATTTAACAATTGTATATATTAATTTTAGTGTTGGATGGTTGGACGTCCCCACGTGCAGATTCACTCTATAATTATATCATATCTACAACAGATCGAAAAGAATATATTTTAAGATTAAAAAATTATTCATCTAATATACTTACAAGTGAATTTTTAACATCAGAGATTTCTGACTTAATTGAAGAAGTTGGGAGTGAAAAATTCGCAGCAGTAGTTACAGATGCTGCGTCTAATTGTCGTTCTGCACGAAAAATGATTCAGGAAATGTATTCCCATATTTGGGATATACGTTGTATGGCACATGCAATAAACCTAATTGCATCTGATCTAGTTAAAAATAATGGTATTAAAGACTTAATTAACAAATGTAATAAAGTTGTTAAGTTTTTTAAAGAATCTCATCGAGGTAATTCATACTTACGACAAGGTCTAAGTGAGATGAAGATTCGACTTGAAGGACTTCACATGTGGTGTCGAACTCGCTGGGCCTCATTATTTTTTACCACAGATTCTATATTACGTGCTAGACCTGTATTTGATTGGGTAAATAACTAATCTATTTATATTTATATATATATAAAAATAATAAATTTTTTTTAATAGATATTGAATGAGCATCGTGATGTAATTTCTAATATGGAAATACTTAAATTACTTGCTGATGAAGAATTTTTTATAACTTGTCGACAAATTAAAGCACTTTGGACACCAATTAAAGATGTAATTGATGTAATGGAAAGTAATACAGCAAATTTGGCTGATTGTTTTAATTATCTAATTAAACTTGCAGCAACGATTAGTCAAATATCTTCGATCAACCCATTTAAACCAGTGGCAATTAAGATTTTTAATAAAAGATTTAAGGAATTTCATCATCCTATTTATTTATTATCATATTTTATGCATCCACATTATCGCGGCAAGTACTTTTTATATTTATTATTTATTTAAAATTTTTAATATTAAATAAAAATTCGAAACTTTAAATTTTAGGGTTTGGCCTAAAAGATGGGGGTTTTAGAGAGGCAGCTCTTATTGCTACCTCTCTTTGGCAAAGTCTTAACCATACTAAACAAGAAAGCAGAGAATTGATTACACAACTTAGGCGATATGATGCAAGATCACCACCATATGATTTACCATATATACCCGAAATGGATACGCCAATTTTATGGTGGGGGTCAATAAAAACCAAACCCAGACACTTAGCTGAATTGGCCCATCGACTTTTTTCTATTTGCCCATCACAAGCCAGTTGCGAAAGAAATTTTTCCATTTTAAAATGGATGATTAGTGACAAAAGAGCAAGATTGAGCGTTGACAAGCTAGAAAGTATGGCAAAAATTAGGTCATATTATATGACTAATATAAAATCCGAATTGAACGATTATGGCAAAGAACTCACTGAGATTGAATTGCGAGAAGCTGTCAATATCTTTGCAGTTGCTGAAGTAATGGCTTTAGAGGAAGACTTGTCTAATTCGGAAGAAATAACTAATGACTTTGAAGATGTACAAGACACATTGCTTATCGAAGAAATTGTTGACTTGTCTGAATATAATGCTGAAAATGATGTACTTATTGAAAACAGTACTGAAATATTAAATGATCCCGGAATTATGGAATATTCACCTGAAGGACTGGTAGATGAATTTTTAGCTAATGAATCGGTCTTGGTTCAAAATAGCGATAGTATTTAATAAATTTATTGAAAATGTAATAAATATATATAATAAATAAATAAATAAATAAATTGGAAAACTATTTAGCTGTTAATTTTCACAATAATTTTGTAAAACTTGGCTATGACTTTCTTTGTTTTGAATATCTTAACCAATACATATAAATATTATGGCTTTATAGCATGCGACGTCTATTATGAAATACGACCATATTACGACATACGGCATACAATACCTCAAACGGCATTACATCATGTGTGCTGTAATAATACGACGGGCATAATTACATGCCGTGACGTATTCTGAGTTGTAATTTTTTAAATTCGCTTCCACCACTATGTGAGACACACGGCCCCATCAACAACAGTGATTCTACATGGACTACATTTTTAATGGATATGAGAAATCCTTTAAAGGTATTAATATTTCTTTTATTTGCTAAAAATTATATTTATGTCTAATTTTGATTTCTTTATTTAAGCTCCCTAACTTGGACGAATTCTACCGTTTTTTGACAACTTCAATGGTATGATTTTCACTCTCATGATCTTGCGAGAAGAATTCTCATAATACATCTTCATTTAATTGCAGGGATTTACCACAAATCTTCGTCAAATTTCGGTATATTTTAATGAAAATGAATTATTCAGAATTTCGAAGGAAATTATTGGTCACCATCGATCAATTAAAATCAAACCCGATATAAAGAGAGAATCTCCAGAAAAATTATTTAAGCTTGAATCAGTCAATATTAATACAGTTAAATTTGAAGTTACTATCACTAGGATAGTATCGTCCAGGAATCATGAAAAAAAAAATGAGGCCGTGAGTTTTCAAATTGCTAGTGGAAATTTGAAAGTTCAGATTCAACGTAAATTTTCTTCTGAAATGGAGAAGGTTAACAAAGAAAAAGCCTCCAAGTAAAACTACCATACAAGCTATTCTTCCCATGTATTCTAGATCTTCCGATGTGCCATCCGATATTTTCAAGGATTTATTGCCATATCCCGAGCAAGGAAATATTTTCATTGGATTTAGAACACATCAAACAACTAGTTATTCTGTAAATTTGGCAGCTCGCGTCATACCAACTGTATGAAATAAATTTCTTATTTCCATAAATGCGTATTATATGAAATTTTTATACTAATTTATCTTAGGTTGAGCGCGAATCGATTGATTTTGCCGAAAAAACTCTTTCAGTTTATAATACAGAAATGTTGTGCTCTATGGGAGAATTGTGCCGTGTGTTATACGAATATGAAATGAATCAAATCTCACAACTATACCAACATAAATCAGATGACAATCAACTAATGCTTGAAGAACGTTCAGTGCGCATTCTCAATCATTTTACCTTTAAGCAAAGTACTCCTGATGATAAAGTAGGAAGCATAATTGAAGAACAATTTTATAGATGCTGTTCTTCACAATTGTCAATATTATCTACTCATGGCGTCAAATCCATTAATTTGATAAGGTTACCCGATCCAGAGATGACTGCATTTATCAAAACTACACCAGTTGTTCCGAAAATCATGATGAATCAATGTGAATCATTTTTTTCAAGGGCAAATAGTATTTTAAAGATCATTGAACAAATTTTAATAAGTGATATATTTGAAGAATTGAAAAAACGAATTCTGGATGTAGATGAAATGGTAGCCTTGATGAAATGGTGGACAACGCAAACTTTCTCTATAAAAGAACATGACCACTTCATGCAACTAGCTTCTGCTAATATTGAAAATAAGGTCATTCGTTTAAAAAATGTTCGTCATTTCCAGAACCCTGGTATTATTAGTCCAGGTTTAGATGTTCCATCCAATGTACTGCCATATGCTATTAGCTAACATTTTAATAATAGGTTAGATATATTTAAACATTATTTTAGGTAAAGTACTATATTATTCGATTTTTTCTTTCTATTTTATTTCAATCAATCGAGATAACGATAGTATTCATTTAATTTAGAAATTGGACAGAGCTTTCATTAGTTACATGGGCACGATATATTGTTGAAAAATATAAATTAAAAAATGATCCAACGTGGCTTCAAAAATACAAAAAAGGAAGATCAGTTCGCTATATGCCAATTACTATCAAAAATTGAATGTATTCCGACTCAATTTGGCGTGAAAAAACCTTCTAAAACATATTTTCCAGATGTAACATTATTTTCAGATTTGCCCAACATTAGCATAAAAGGAGACGAAAAATTTTTCACGGAGTTAGGAATAAATAAGGTAAGAAATATAATGTAAGAATTTCATCCATTACATACTTATAAATATACAATTTATATACGCTAGTATGTTGAATTGGAAGTTGTTTTCACTCGATTAGTAAATAGTGAAAATTTGAATCACTTGAAGCTTTTGAAATATTTTGCCAAATTTGCTAAAGAACTTAAAAATACTGATATTGAAAAATTAAAAAGGACCAAAATTTGGATAAAGGAGTCTACTGATAGTAATAAATCTGTGGATAATGTTAATGTTCAGAGATATTTGGCAAGAGATTTGTATGCCCCGTGCCATCATAAAAGAGAACTTGAGTTGCCAATAATAAATTGGAAAGGGCATTGGAACAAATCTTCAAATGAAGGTAGATGAATGGAAGATTTTCATTCAAACAATTAATCTACATAATTTATAAATTATTTTTAAATTATTTATTTTATTATTAACCAACATAATTCATATGTTTTAGCTAAATTTATCATTGAACTTGGGTTGCAAGAATATCCATCTATTCAAACTATTCTTCAACTTGCAGAACAATCTCAACCCCTTGAACTTCGTGAGAAAGCACTTCAAAATTTTATCAAAAATTTCAAGGAAAAATATTCCGAAAAATATAATTCAAATTTGATTCAAATAAAATTTTTACCATGTATTAATAATATTTATGCGAAACCATCAGAATGTTATTCAAATCCTCGTTGTATGAAGATGGGATTTAATACTTTACGTCAAGATTTATGCTTTTTGGCTAAAGAAATTGGTGTTGAAAGATATCCTAATCACAATTTGTTGCTGGACAAATTTGTACAAAATCTTCCAGGCACGAACAATGCAAAAGAAATTTTCGAATTCATGTACTTTGCAACACATGAAAGTGATTCAAATTGGAAAGTACTTCAGAATACCAAATTCATACCTATCCAAGAGAAGGTTTCGCCATATAAAATCACTTATCACAAGCCGGATGAATGTTTTTTCAAAGTATTTGATGAAAAATACGTAAATATTCTAATATTTTCATACTGTATATAATTTATTTTGATCTTGATCTTTTTTAAACTTGACACAAATTTTATTCAATAAGTTATTTGGATTTTTTTAAATGTGTTGATTTTGGTGAAATTGCAAACAAGTTTTTAAAAGATTGTCGTGTAAAACAAGAGCCATCTGCATTAGATTTAGCGGAATACCTTATTAAGTCGTCTAGGGAATTCTGGTCAAAGCTTAGTAATGAAGATACATATATAAATATCTTAGGAACTATTGCATACAACTATGAAATTTTAAATACAATAAAACCTGGAATGCTTGATACAATGAAACGATGTCCAATCTTGTTAGGTGTAAAGAAAGAAGTAGATATTTCTGGAACTATAACAGATGTTTCTGAATTAGCCTGCGCTGGAGATATTTTTATAAATGATAATGATAAATATCGAAGTATATTTAATCCATTAATTTGTCCATTTACAGATCGTATAGAAAAATTTAATCAAGTATGTTATCTGACAATACTGCAATATATTAATTTTATGTAACAGTGTTATAAAAATTGTAATAATTTATATATATATATATATATTTCTTGTCAAGATATTGGGAAGTCAATCTCTTGATGCTAGCGTCAGTACAACACCTCGACATATTGCTAAAGAAAGGGCCTCGAGAATTCCATAAAATAAACAAGAAAATTTTGGAACGAGTACCTTGGTATTATTCTGGTATTAAAGGTGGAGGTTTAAAGAATGATATATCATGGATAGAAAACTTACAAGTTAAGCAAACTGATCAAATTAATTTGAATTATGCGCTTATTCCTAAGCATGAAGTAAAGACAAATAAAATTTCTGCTTGTGTCTCGGAGAGTGGAAAAAAATTGATTCTTTATATTACTAGTGAAAATTACACGGATATTGCAAATGCATTAGTCCAACGTATTCATCGTTGTCCTAAAAGACAACATTGCACAAATTTATACCTTTATTTAACCTCTTCAATAGAACAACTTCAGCAACTCGGCTATCCTACTGAAAATATAAATGTCAATATTAAAAATGTAAAGATTGATAAATTAGATAAATTGCCAAACCCACCAAAACCAATAAAACAATTGTCTTTTGCTGAATTCGAGAATATGTTACTTGAGTCTTGCAAATCAAACTATAATCGATTTATCCCAGCAAACAATAATCCTGTAGAAACTTTTGTTACTGAAGAAAAATATTATGGTAACATAAACGTTTTTATTATGTGATATACTGTAGTGATAAATTGTTTTTATTTTATTTTAATAATTTTACTTTATTATTTTCAAATAGAATCACCTTTAAATTATGTTACAACTGTGGATTCGATTGAACTTTACATTAAAGATACCTTAGATCCGTCTATTCTTTTATTTCCTAATGTTACTATGGAAGGAAATATAAAAAAATTCATTAGTGTACTTGTTAATTTACTGAAATTTTTGAACTACCAAGAAGCAAAATTAATATATTTTATGATGATGATACAACTACGGCCGCTTTTAATCGTAACAAAACTTTGTTTTTCAACTTAAAATATGACATAGAGTGTGGAGGTCCTTTTAATAAACACATTGTATATTGGTTTTTTACACTTTGTCATGAATTGGCACATAACTTCATTTCACCACATAATGCCGATTTTGTGGTAAGATTTTTTATTTTATTTATATTATAAGTTGCTCTGGATACGTCGACAATTTTTTTTTCATTAGTAAAAAATTCAAATGTCGATACAGTGGTTATACGAACAAAAATTTATCCAGATGTCGGTATATCCAGAATAACATGTATTTATCAAAATAATATTCCGACCTAATTTTTTATTTATTTTTTATATTCCTCTTAAGTATTATTTACAATCTTATGCAAATAAATATTTTCCAGTGTTGATGCATCAAATTTTAGTTCGTGGGGTGTTAAAAAAAATTGAGAATATTTAATTATTTTAATAAATATATAAATATATTATAATATTAATTTTGTAAATAAAATCAATTAAAATTAATGAGATACACAATAAAAACGCTCGTTTATATTTGTAAATCATAAATTTGCCAAATTTGTATTTGAGCTTCGATTTCACATTTGTATTTTATTTATTTTCATGCGTACGTGTGTGTATATTATATTTATAGTTTCAGTATTTTTGCACTATAATTATTATTACACAAAATAGTTAATTAATTAATAAGACCGGGCAAACGTGCAATCTACATCTTTGGGTTCAAAATTACAATTTGCTAGTTGGATCACAATTTGCACTTCTGGTTTTACAATTTATTGCTATAACAAAATATTCAAATACCATTCAGATGTTTTGTCATGAAAAATTTAACATTAAATTGATCATCTTCAGAAGATTTCAAATATCATTTAAAGGTCTTTTTTCACCTTATTTGTACTTACACCTCTGTCATAGCTATATTTAACGCTAAATTGTTCTTTCAAATTGTCATCTTTGCTTTGAAACTTAAATCAGAAAAATCTTTAAGACTTCAATCCTAAAACTTTTCAACCAAATTCTTTAATCTAAAATGTGAAGATTCTTTTATTTTTTAGAATTCTTTCGTCGTTTTAAAGAAAGTTGTTGATCATCACAAAGCATTTGGATAAAACTGATATTGCATGCTACGCAAACAATAACTGTCATATCGTGTACTTAAAATAAGTTACCCTTTCGCTCACTAGAAACGTATGCAAGTACGTGATTTGCTGCGTAAGTTACAGACCACATATTTTCACACATTACGATACTTTACATATTTTATGTTCTCTTTCGACCAATCAGGATTACTACAGTTACTGTATGCTCTGCAGGGATAAGGGAAAAGTGCTATTTTATTTATACTAATTCAAATCTTTTAAATAAAATCGCATTTTTTCCGTGTCCCTGACGCTATGTATGCAACAACTATTTAATACATGCATCTCACACGTAGAGCTTGCGGATTCCTTATTCGAATAATATTTGAATAATTTAGATCGGCAAATATCTATTTGAATATTCGCCGAATGACTAACAGAGTTAATCAGCCAATGACTGAAGTCTCACAAGATGAATAATATATAGTTATTGAATGCGTAGCAGACAATAACGAGAATTATTTGTAAAATAATTCATTAGGAGTTATTGGCTAGCGTAGCATACAATAACGGTTTTATCCGATGGCTTACGACGATTGTGCTTCTAAATGACTCGAGTTTTGGTAGTGATTACATAAACTGCCAAATAACGAAGTTATTTGGCAGATGACGTATCACTGCCAAATAACTCGAGTTATTTTGGCAGCACTATAATAGTAAGCTATCGGATAATGTATATTATTTATTAAAGTAACAAAGCTTGGGAGATGTAACTTCAGAACTTTCAAAATCAACGTTAAACGTTACACGATTATTTATATAGCATGGTAATGTAAAAACAAGTTTTTAAAAATAATAAAAATAATCATCGTTATCAACACAATACTTCCTATTAAAATTCTTAACGAACGTCTCGTCATACAAATCATATTGCATCGCGTATTAGGGTGCGACATCAATTAAGTAATCAAAACTATGTTAGCTACATTGATCAATTTACTACTATCAAATTTTTATTAGCGAAATCAGAAGTGAAAATTGAAAATTAAAATTCAATTTATGGCTTATACTCTAAAATTAATAAAATTTAAAATCTCTATATGACAAAAAACCCAAAACTTATATATTTGTAAAAAGTTTCAAACATAGCTTTATTCTTCAACATTTTATAAACAGTTTGTGAAAATTTCTACAAGTTGAATTGGTTCGAAATTTCTATGTTGATATATTAATTATATTGATATAAAAATTGACTGTTCGTGTAACCTGAAAAATCTGTTCTGTGATATAAACATCGCTCCCTAATCGTCAAATTTATTAGAAAATTACTATATATCGCCAGTGGTGATCATGATCTAAGCCAATCACCTGCCGCTGTTTAATACCCATGTGCATATTTTTTATTACCTGTATTATTGTATAGCAGTTATTGATTATACTTCTATATCATTATTCGTAATTGCATCATCAAATTAAACTACAGTCGCACCCCTAAGTGCACACCCCTCGGGACCATAGTGAAAAAAATGCAAAATGTACACTTAGAGGTGTGCACTTAGGGAGATTAAATTTTATAATTGTTATATGAGTTGGGACCAAGCAGAAGCGTGCATATTAGAGGGGTTTTTCATATACCGTGCACTTAGGGAATGTGCATGTTGTATTTATTTCGGTTAAAATTTCTTATAGATTACGTAAACTATACAAATATGAGAATTTTTAGTATAGTCATCAATAACATGGCTATACGATAATATTTTTTTTATTTAATACAGTAATATTCATATGACATTACTTCAATATTCGTGTAACCATATCGGAAGTATCATAAGTAGACTGGTCTTTTACTCCGAGACACCGGAATACTTGTTAGCGAAAGTTCCGAACAATCTAATCAATATTAAAGTATATTTTTTTAATGTTCTAATAATCAATAAAAATTGGGGATTTTATGAATTTGGGATAGCATTTACTAATTTCTTCCCACACTTTTTATTGGTTGAAATTTTTTGTGATTATTTACATATCATCGTCCTTTTTAAAATGTGACATTTTGGTTAAGGTTAGCATTAGATTCGGTAAGCAAAGTTTATACCAAAATTTTGCTAGGTTATTTTATTAGTACACGAAAGGTGATTTCTTGATTTTTTTGTTGTTCTTTGTTAATTTTCACGTTACACCAGATCTTGTTCCCGTGATTGATGCTGATTGGCTAAAATCGGAATTGCGGAGGAAATTAGTAAATGCGTTTGGATAATGGTGAGCAATCTGAACTCTCTTGGAATTTGGCGGGAATTTGTATGATTTTTTTTTCAGAATTTTGCGTATCTTGACCGGAATCGTTTACCATTTCAGATCAAAAATAGGTACTATGCTTGATTAAATAGAAATTTTGTACTGCATATATGCTACATATCAAGTATATACCAGATACTGGTACGTACGTACGTACGTACGCATGCATGTACCATAACTGATAACATGTGTATACTGAGATAATTTTTGGCATCAAATATTGATTTGGTTACACGATCATATTTACACTTTACAGAATTAAAAATTTGTAAAACACGTAAGGTTTGAAATTTGATTGTAAAACCGATAATCTCAATTATCTTTGCTTTGAAACTTTAAATCGAATATTGGTTTTATTTATTGTTCCGCTTAAAAAAGAAAAAAAAAAAGAATGTAATGACTTCGTGTAACAAGAATCACTGCTAAGACAAGTTGGTAGAATAACTGGATCCGACTAGAACCCAAACGCTAATATGAGATTTGAAAAAACCCTATTAAAAACAATATAAAAAATCGTGTAACAGTACTTTTACAATAGAGCAATTTAAACAAACTTGACTCTGAATAATATACGAATATGTAAATTAACGTTTCGTTGTCAAAGTAAAAAGTTTCGTGCATGCAATAGCCCCTGAAGTCTGTCTTCAATTAGTAAGAATTATGCAATTTTTTCTGAAAAAAACTCATGATACATATCATAGTCAGACATTCGTCTGATTGGCTGATGTAGATCAATTGCCCGGGTAACTTATTTATACGCTTTAGAGTACTTTTTAGGAATGTAACGTTTCACTAATAAAATATCGCTGTAAAAGTCATTCTTAGCTTCGAACGAACGTTATTATTCACTGTTCAAAAGAATCTGAAAAGAATCTGCCTCCTCACCGACTTTACTTAGAAGACAAAGATATATGACTGTTTATTGGGCCGTGAGAAATTATACTATAAATAAAGGTAACTGGAATGTTTTTCGTCTAAAACTGCTTTACTATGTTAGATCTAAATAAACATTTATTTTAACTGTTTGATTTGAACATGTACAAGCTCTCTAGTAACAGAAGATCCGCGTTTAATATTTAGGTTTGGTTGGTTCTTGTAGTGTGTTTGGGTTTGCCAATCATAAATTAAAGTGTTGGCTTATATATTGTAGATTTTTTAATGAATTCGGGTTTATTAGTATAAATATCACATATAACCCACTTTACGCGCATATA